GCATAGCAATTACCCAGGTTATGTCTCAAGTGAAGATGAAGTAAAAGAAATGAAGCTAAATGATGACGTCACAAGTACTTTGGGTATGACATGGCACTCAGATAATGACACATTCCATTTTGAGTTTCGCCCATCCAAATCATATGCACATAATACGAAAAGAAACATTCTTTCCCTGACGTCGACGCTATTTGACCCAATGGGTTTAATAAGCCCTCTCATCATTAGGTCAAAAATATTGCTCCAACATCTTTGGATCATAAAATGTGATTGGGATGAATCAGTTCCTCAAGAAATTGAATCAGCTTGGGAATCCATCATGGCTGATTACAGTAAATTGTCTCAAGTACAGATTCCTCGATACATTCGACTACCAAATTCAACTAACATAGAGGTCCATGGATTTGGAGATGCTTCAATAAAGGCATATGGTTGCTGTTTATATCTTCGCTGTGAAGATTCTTTGGGAAACATAGCAGTAAATTTAATCGCATCAAAGTCAAGAGTTGCGCCTTTGAAAACGAGAACGTTGCCTCGAGTAGAGTTGTGTGCTGCTCATTTACTCGCAACCTTCTGGAGCCAATTAAAGCAATATTTTAAATTCCCGATTTCTCAAATCTACTTTTGGTCGGATTCTCAGATTACTCTTCATTGGATTAAGTCCCACTCTTCAACCTTGTCTACTTTTGTGGGTAACAGAGTAGCTGAGATTCAAGAAACTTGCCCTGATGTCCTATGGCAATATGTTCCGACTGAACACAATCCCGCTGATTTAGTATCCAGAGGTTGTTCTGTCTCCGATATATTGGTTTCGCCTTGGTTCGTAGGCCCTTCCTTCCTTATGGATCCATTTTTCAATTGGCCAAATTATTCTGGCCCAAGTCTAAGCGAAGCGGACATGCATCTTGAAAGACGAAAAATTACATTGATAACAAAAAAGGAGGACTTACCCTATATCCTAAAAGCAGTCCATAAATTCAGTAACTATTTAAAATGTCTCAGAATATTCTCATATATATTTCGAATTCGTTCAAGGAAATCGCTCCACTTGCCCTCTATATCTCCAGATGAGTTGACACATTCTCTCCATAGGATAGTCTGGTGCATTCAACAACATTATTTTTCGGAGGAATTCCTTGAAATATCAAAGCATGGATTTGTCTCTGGTCAGTTGTCATCATTGGCTCCATTTATAGAAGATGTCTCTGGAGTGCAATTAATAAGAGTTGGCGGCCGATTATTAAATGCCGAGCTTACACCAGAGATGAAGTTTCCTTTGCTCCTGCCCAAACCCGATCCCTTCGTAAAAATCATGGTGATCTACATTCATCGCTCTAATTACCATGCTGGTCCACGAGCCTTAGTATCTTTGGTTCAGCAGCAATTTTGGATTGTCAATTGTCGGTCTTCGGCCCGAAAGGTGGTTCATCAGTGCATACATTGCACAAGATACAAACCGAAATTACTCACTCAGGTAATGGGCAACTTACCCAAGGATCGAGTTACCGGTTTCCGCCCATTTGATGTTGTTGGAGTTGATTTTGCTGGTCCCATACCAACGTATCTCAGGATTCGAGGGAAAGCTCCATCAAAATCCTACATTGCTGTCTTCGTTTGTTTCGCATCAAAGGCAGTACACCTAGAAGCGGTATCCGACTTGTCCAGCGAGGCCTTCATAGCAGCATTAAAACGGTTTACTGGCCGCAGAGGTGTACCGTCAAGAATTAATTGCGATAACGCTACCAATTTTGTTGGAGCAGAGAGGAAATTGAGTGATTTTCATAAATTTTTCCACCTCGACAAAAATAAGGAAGCAGTTGCTCATTATTCATCTGCGAAGTTCATAGAATTTTCCTTCATTCCTCCCAGAGCTCCTCATTTTGGTGGACTATGGGAAGCTGCTGTGAAATCAGCTAAAGGCCACTTGCTCAGAACGCTCCCTAGTGCTCGTCTTACATTTGAAGAGCTATGCACAGCCCTTGTTGAAATAGAGGCAATTTTAAATTCCCGTCCTATCTGCCAGATATCCACAGATCCCAACGACTTAGAAGCGCTTACTCCAGGGCATTTACTCATTGGTTGCCCGTTGCAGTGTATTCCAGAGAAGATAAAATATGACTCTGACATTTCTCATCTACAACAGTGGCAACGAATCTCAGCCATAAAGTCTCATTTCTGGAGCAGGTGGCACACAGAATACTTGGCTCAGTCACAAAATCGTTATCGCTGGAAAAACCCACAACAAAATCTTCAAGTCAACGATATGGTGCTCATACACGAAGACAATGTTCCCCCCATGAAATGGGCCATCGGTCGTGTTACCAAACTTATTCCAGGAGCAGACGGTTTTGTTCGAGTGGCAGAAGTCAAGACATCACAAACTACATTAAAGCGTCCCGTGGCAAAGTTAGCCGTACTTCCTAAAGAATAAAGTTTGATTGAAACCAGGGTTTCAATGGGGCCCGGGATGTTAAATCACTCAAATGATTTTTTAATATTAGTTAAATTTGATTTGTTGCTCAAAGAGCATTTTTGAAAACATAACATTATTTAAATTAATTATTTTCAGTACTTAATATTTTAACGCTACAAGAGCCACCTTAATGTCATTTTTTCTGTTTTCCCTTTTCTATTATTTACTTTGAATTCGCCCTAAAGAGAATCCATCATAACTAGCATTGTTATTGTAAATATGGATGAGCAGTCAGACGATCAAGTGATAGGCAGAGAACGCACATACGTACAAACATACATACATACGTTGAGTGCATCATCTCTGTTTATGTTATTGCTCTGCCTCTGCTGATCGCTCTGCTGCTATTCAATGCAAAAATATTGTCCCGCTATTCTTTTGGTTGTTAAACCAGAATAGAAAAGAAATAAAACATTCTTATTTGAAACAATTAAAGAGTGAAGAAGTGTTTTAATTTGGTGACGGGCTAGAGGCAAACAAAAAAGTAAAAAATAACCCAACACAGTGGTTGAGTAAAAATTGCAAACTAATCTTGGAGAAATTAAATTTGATTGTCTTGATTGTGGAACTAAACGAAGGCGAGAATTTTGGCGTGTCTCAATAGAGAAACAACATATTTGGACAAATTGCTCTTCCAGGAGAAAGAACTTGCTCAGGGAATTCTACTTGCTGTTGGATAACCGTGGTCAGATTAAAGGTGGAGAGGTGTATTAAAACACTCTGTCGTAAGTGGCCCTATAGACAACACAATTGCCCAGAGTAAGTAAATTTACATACTCAAGTCGAACCCTTGAGTTAGGAGTGTGTTTAATTACATATGAAACACATTCCGGGGTTGTCAAAATAGGCAATCCTCAAACACCATGGTTTCAACCATGGTAAAATGAAGACAAGGTAGGCTAACTTTGAAAACATTGCAAAAGCTAAACAAATTGCTGCATTGGTTTTGAATAAATAATCGAAAACCGGGAAACTGATTTAAAGGTCAAAATTTATCTTTAAAGGTCAAAATTTATCTTTTAAAATTTATCTTTAAAGTATCATGTTCTATATATCTGTAAAGGTTTATTTCGCTACAAAAACTGTAGATTTTGTCGATACAAACGTTGCAATAAGCATTTTGAAAACATCCGAATTTGAATATTTTCTGAACATTTTTTTTGGTTATTGAAAAAAATACACACCTAAACATATTAAGCCAAGAAAATAATAAAAAAAATTAAAATCATATGGTACCCTACCTTGATTTTATTGTTCGCAATTCCGTACGTCACAAGCTTATAAATTTTTCCTTTTTCATGGTCTAAATAAGTTCGGTCAAGAAGACTACTTTTGACACCGATTTGACAATAAACTTAGTAGGTTTTGCACAATTGTTATGTGATTCCCTTTGAATTTCAGTATTTTGAAATACATGAAGTATTTTGACACATTCAAAAAAAATTTAAAGATTCTTCGAGGAATATGACTATGATTTGAATTATAGATTGGTGCTTTAAGTTATCAATGTTCCACTTGGATCCAATTCCAATTGAACTATTAGTACTATGGTATTTAGGTACGTTAGTATTACTCTCCCATCTGTTTCTTGTGGTAGAATATAAAAAGTCCGAACCTTGCTTTTTATTCTTAAAAATTTGAAGTAGTGAGTTGGTATTCGATTTGGCCAACATAATATTTGACATTGAGAATTTTGCTGAGCATAAAAATAAATATTGAGCATCTTTTATTCCATTCCTGAACGCTCTCATTGATACCTACGTTGTAAGTGTGCGATGCTAAATATACTCAAAACAGTTGAATCAGATCGAGATCACATCACCATGCCCAACATGGAACACCGTCGTCGCGTACGATGCTTTTAAAGTAAATATAAATAAAACACACACATATACACATTCATACAAACGCATTAATTAGAAGACCACTTCGTCATCAACTGGTGAAAATTGTGGTTATTTTACTAGAAAAAATCAGATGTATGAGGTAAACAGGTAAAATCAAAACAAATACCAAAATAGACTGTTGGGGTCTGTCATGTCCAACGCACAAATTTTCCCTATACACGTCACTTACCAATGTAATTTTAATTATCTGCCTGAGAAAAAGAAGCATATATTTTACTGTATTCCTCAGTGAGTCTCCTTAATGAAGCACATTGGAAATAGACGTATTGAGACTGTTGAATACAGTCAATCCTAATATGTGTATTCATAATTTTAAAGATTTAATCAAGTGTATACAAAAGAAGGTTGTTATTTAATACATCCGCCCCATACTCTGAAGTATAGGGATGGAACCTTAATATAAAAACCAAAGCTTAGTAGGCTATCCAAGCAACTTCTTTGGAATAAAGTAACATCGTATTGTCTTAAAAATCCCATGATATTGTTGAAATATTATTGAAAAAATAATGACAGATGGAAATCTGTTGGTTGAATTATTCGTGAGTCCACTGTAGTTTAGACAAAACGAAATACTGAGAGTACGACATATTCACCTACATAGGCATTAAAGTACCGAAAGCACCCAAGTGGCGGCGCTCTCATTTCGCTAAATGCCAATTTGAGCAAAACAGATGGCAGACGAATGTGTGTTCCAAATGCGTTAGTCTGCTGCGAGAAGCTTTATCATCTAGTGCTATTTTAGAACGAAATTAATTCGTATCCGTCCGCCAGAAGAAGTATAAATTTGAGCATAAAATAAAAATGACTACATTTGAAAATTCGCGAAATTCATATTTAAATGAAAATGATCGAAAACAATACAACTATGGTTCGTCTGACACAGATGACACAGAAAATGAGATACCTTATCATGCCCGTGAACATGCCAGACCTTTTACTTACGGAAAACTACCAAAGGGATTTAAGAAAAGCGATTTGAACCATGTGCCAGTGGACGATATTCCGGAAACCCCAAAAGCATTCAGTAAAGCAACAACACCAACTTCATTGCCACCAAGTCCAACGGCTCCAAGGAAGCCTGCTCGACCAAGTGTGTCGCCGTCCAGACCTGTTCTAAGGAAAACGCCCTCCCGCCAAGAATTTGAAGAGATGCTAAGAGAACGTCAAGAACAGTCCCTTCGGGAGCAAAATCAGGCATTAAAAGAAGCTCAAAACGCTTCAATTCAAAAGGATTTAGATGAGTTGCAGGAGAGGTTGAATAAAAGTGCGTTACTACAAATGGCTGAGGGCCAAAAAAAAGAAACTTTAACCACAGAAAATACTTGCAGAGAAGTAGTAAAACTTGTGGAAACAATTGACTTGCCCGACGAAAATGCCAGCGCCAGTGACCCAACGCCATCCAATGCCATTTTAGAAGCACCCTGCAGGCATGAGCAGACTGTTACAGTCGTCGACGCCAATAGACCAGAAACACCCGCCTTCCCAGTATCCACAAAATCCACATTGGAGGACCGATGTGTTAGTCCATACCAGTTGTCAGCTCCGGGATCGCCAATTGTCCAAAGGGTCAATTCTTTAACAAATAAATCGGGCGAGAAGAAACGTTCGCCACTAAAATTGTCAGCATTGCCATCGATCTTACCATTGAAGTCCAAAGAGAAAAAACACACTGAAACACCACAAGACGTTGCCCCTCACTTGGTGAAATTCGCTAGAGATTCCTCAGAGTTTTGGTACAAACCACACATGACTAGGGAAGAGGCGGTAACACTTCTTCGATATGCCGAACCAGGCACATTCGTTATACGTAATTCCAACACATATAAAGGAGCATTTGGATTGGTGTTGCGTGTTGCCAAACCGCCACAGGGAGTCACAATAGCTGAAAACAATCCAAATAGTGATGTACTAGTCCGACATTTTCTCCTGGAGCCCACTACTAGAGGCGTACGTCTGAAGGGATGTGTTAACGAGCCAACATTTACATCACTCTCCGCTCTAGTATATCAACACTCAACTAACCAACTGGCTCTACCCTGCAGACTTATAATACCCACGCGAGATATACTTCTCTCCGAAGTAGACCGAGAAATAGTCCAGAGGCAGAAACAATTGCTGGAGCAGGGAGCTGCATGCAATGTCTTGCTCGTCTTCAGCATGTACACAGAATCGCTGACAGGCGACGAAGCCATTCGTCGAGCCGTCCACGAAATGTACGCCCAATCAGCCACACACAATCCAATCGAAGTGCATTTCAAAGTCTCGCAAAACGGAATCACACTGACGGACAACAAGAGACGCTTCTTCTTCCGGCGCCACTACACCACCACTTCCATTTCCTATGTCAGTTTGGATCCTGACAATCGATTTTATGCCGTTCTAGCTAACGACGAGGGCTTAAATCGAACCGTGAAGAAGACAATATTTGGCTTCGTAGCTCGACCTGCTGGCAGTCGTGATAATCAGTGTTTGGTCTTTTGTGACTTGGCCGCAGCACAGCCTGCATCGGCGATTGTGTCCTTTGCTCAGAAGATATTGCATTTAAATAAAAACGCCGATCTATTGTAGATAAAAATGCATTATACAATACTATACATTTGGTATACATATGTATGTCTACGTTACTACGCTACGGAACCTTCTTAATTCTTTCAATTAACTGAGAGTGCTAATTACCCAATAACTGACGTACCCCTTGACGTGTTTCACCATACAGGTTAAACGCATATAATTATATGAATGTTGCCGGAATACATCAAATAGCGCAACCTACAATTCCTACTTCCCCACTGTGGTAAAATGTTTTGTACATCCGTATTACTACGCCTAGTCCATATCTTGAAATATCTCAATTTCAAATTATAATTTCCAATTAGAAACATTTACATTTTTATACCCTACAGCACTATGTGTTAGGGGTATTATATGTTTGATTTGGCCAAAAATTATGTAACACCTCGAAATATTGGTTTCCCACATAGGAAAGTATATATGGATCTTCCTATCTGGCCGAGCTGAGTCGATCTAGCTATGTATGTCCGTCCGTCCGTCTATCCATGTTAATTTGTAATCACTCTACAGGTCGCAATTATGGTCCGATCTACACGAAATTTAAAATGGAGGTGGGGCTAGGGTCAGAATAGAACCCTATTTCTTTTGGGGATGATCGCATAATATTTAGGGGTTGAAATGGACCAAAAACTGAAAAAACTGGGTGAAATAGACCATAACATTTGTGTTAAATTAAAATCAAATTTTCCATTATACCGCGAATATTTTTAATCCCGGCGAAATCACAAATAAACGAACAGCTCAATTCTGACCGTTACGTCGATGCCGATAGTAAATATATCGGATATATATAGCGAAATATATACAATGTGTATATACAAAGGAAGGGGGATGCTATAATGCTTATATCTCAAGAATGCCTGGACCGATTTTGACAAATTTTGTCAATTTAGAATGTCTTCTTGGCACCAAAAAAAAAAAAAAAAAAAACATTTTAAAAAAATTGCATAAAAAGATGCCAATAATGATTTAAATATAGATTTTGTAGTACTTTCTGACATTTTTTTATTTTTTCATACTTTTTTATCGCATGCGATTTTTTCATTTTGACTTATAATATTGAAGTGTACATTTTGTAATATTTTTTTACCTTACAACACAGGTTGAGGTTATTGTGTACAGATTGCAATTATCGTCTAATCCTCAAGAAAATTTTCATAAGTGCAGGGTTAGGCTCAAATGGGTTAGGCCTATTGGTTTTAAAGATGTCCGCCATATATTTGGTGGTTGAAATGGACCAACAACTAAAAATGTTCCTGATTTTGCAACGGTTATAAAGTTCACAAATAGAAACCAAAGAACACGAAATCTCTCATGAGGTTAAAGTTTACGACAGCGGGTAGAATGGACCACTACTTTTGTGTAAAAAATACCAACATTACTTACAGGCGATATCCGAAATACACAAAATTCGAAATTCTGGTTTTTATGCAGAATTTTTTTTTGACGAATATAGCTAAATATCGTAGACAAGCAAATCATATATGTGAGACTAAATTTTGAGATACAGAGGGCCTCTTGCTTTTGGAGATGATCGGAAAATAATTAGAGGGTTCCGTGACATAACTTTAAAAGCGAAATATTCCAAAATGGATTTGGAGATAAGGGGGCTTCAAACATATTGTAGTGTTGTAGGGTATCACATGGTCGGCCCCGCACGACTATAGCCTTTGCTTACTTGTTTGTATTATTTATATCTATTTTCAACATGCAAAGAAAAAAAATTATTCAATTGTCAGTGTTGAAGTTGTTTAACTTTCGACATTTCGTATGTTCGACGTATTTCGGCAACTTTTATATAAATACATGTGTTTAATTTGTGTGGTAAAAAATAGATAACCGAGTGCGTTGAATTTTAAGTAAAACTGTTACAATTTGAGATAATTCAATTAAAAATCTAGATATAATCATCCAAATATCCTATATTGTGAGGTACCGTTATATGAGGGCTATACGAACACGTGGATCTGTAGAGGCAATGGTCTGTCATAAGAAGTAGTACCCATTCCGAATTCCAAATTCCGAATTTGAAACAATTGTGTGTTAAAAAGTGTGACCCGATTCATCAAAAAAGGTTGGTGGGTATAAAAAGTTACATTTGGGAAATTCTATAAATATTTGTGTATTTGGGTAATACGGACGCACAAAACATTTTACTATAGTGAGGAAGATCAAAATTTTTTGTTCAGCAGGTTAGATATCATGGTAGAATGAAGAAGGTAAAATCATGCACTTATATGGGGAAAGTGTTCCTAAGTTCGGCATGTCCGAGTAGTCGGTAGTTTTAAAATTTAAAATTAAAGAGCTAAGAACAGAATTTACCAAATAATGAAATTGACCAACTAAGAATAAAACGTCAAGAGTGGTCTCTGCTCTCTTTCTTAAAAAAAAAACAAGTAAAAAAACATTAAGTTCGACCGGGCCAAACTTTTAATACCCTCCACCTTAGGGTAAAAGAAACATTAGAAGAAATGTGGCAAAAACCATTAAAATGCCGATTATGGGGAGGTACCGTTATATGGGGGCTATACCAAAACGTGGACCTATAATTACAATGTTTCGCCACCGGAGCTGGAACCCATTATGACCCACAAATACCAATTTTTAGACAAATCAGTGAAAAAAAATGTGGCAAAAACCATCAAAATACCGTATATCGGGAGGTACCGTTATATGGGGGCTATATCAAATCATGGACCCATGCATGCAATGTTTCGCCACCGAAGCTGGAACCAATTATGACCAACAAATACCAATTTTCGAACAAATCCCTGAAAAAATGTGGCAAAAATCATCAAATTACCGAATATCGGGAGGTACCGTTATATGGGGGCTATACCAAAACGTGGACCTATAATTACAATGTTTCGCCACCGGAGCTGGAACCCATTATGACCAACAAATACCGATTTTCAGACAAATCCGTGAAAAAATGTGGCATAAATCATCAAAATACCGAATATCGGGAGGTACCGTTATATGGGGACTATACCAGAACGTGGACCGATATATCTCATACCAACCATCCTAGACACAATGCAAATAGCTCTGCTAAATTTTGGAGCTCTACGTCAAATAATGTGGGCTGTATCGTGATTTCAACAGACAGACGGACAGACAGACAGACAGACAGACGGACATCTTTATATCGACTTAGAATTTTATGCTGATTATGAATATATATACTTTATGGGGTCTAAAACGAATATTTAGGGATGTTACAAACGGAATGACAAAGTTAATATACCCTCCTTTCCAAGGTGGAGGGTATAACAATGAGCGCCGATCATTTATTACGAGAGAATAACGGGTTTCGTCAGTGAGTGTCTTCCAAAGCGTGCGATAGTGCTTGTTTGTAAAGAAGAAATTAGTGGTGGCGTCAACTTAATAGTCGATTTAAGTAAATTAAATTTAATACTTTTGGAATCAGAAATATTTTATACTAGTAAATAACAGTCTAAAGATCAGTTTATAACTTAAAACCATACAAATCAAGCACTTTTCTATTATATTATTTAATGCCGACATTGGGAACAGAAATAAAGAGATTTGCCAGTAGCCGACAGGGGGTGCCGATTACTAGAAAAATATAATTTTTGACCAATTTCACCAAAACTTGAGAAATGTATTAAAAAATAACCAAAAAAATACTCAAATAAAAAAATTGTTTTGAGTCTGGCAAAATATACATGCCGAGCATCGGAAAATGGTGCCGACAACTGGCAAATAACTACTATTTTAGTAAAATTGCAAATTTTTCCAATATAATAAAAACAAATTCAATTTTTGTTTATTATTTCGAAAACTATACAAAATTTGGAATCTGAACAACTTTAATTTTCTGCAATTGAAAGATTTCACTCAGAATCTTGAAAGATTGAAAAATCGAAAATCCTAAAAGTGCCGACTACTTGTACACTTACCCTATTAACAATTTTTTTTTTCAATATTATAAATTTGACAACATCTTATTGTCAAAATGTATATTTAAACATCCATTGCATATACACAAATCAGAAATGGGAATCTGTTTTCTATGTAGTGAAAATTGAAAAGGTAATTTACACAACATGCAAAAAATTACTTTACTTTCTCAATTCTACTATGGTCGGGTATTAAGGCCTGTAAAATACAAGGGTCTTGCGTACAAAAATGCTCACCTTCTCACCATAATCAAGAACTTTGTACAGCCGTATACCCAAGTTTGCATGGGCGGTAGCTCAATTCAAATAAACCAAAGTTCAAAAACTGTTGAAAAATATTAAAATTCTTTGACAAGGAATTAAATATTCACATGTTTCCAATATATTTATGTTGGCTGTATTAAAAGTTTGATTTGGCAAAAAGTTTGTAACACCGAGAAATTTTTGTCTTAGAGCCGCGATATTATATATCGATCTTGATATAGCTCTGCGTGCCCGTCTATCAATGTTAATTTGTATTCTCACTATTTTTTCTGATTTAATCATTGGTAATAAAATGAAATGACTTTACCTTCTTAATTTTACCATGCATTCAACAGTGAATATTTTTCATACTGAGAGTCACTTTCCGACGAAATTACCGGTACATAAAAGTGGCACATCTGATCCTCACATTTATGCTGACTTCGTGAACAAACATATATTTATAATTAAATTTTATTTGACATCCTAAAAATTTGATGCATTGTTCTTGAACGATAAAAGGCTTACAAAATGTCAGCAAAGTAAGAATAAACATAGTAATATGATAAAAATACTTGAGTCAAAAAAAATAATAAATTTGAATGTAAAAATTAAATATACCTGATGTTTTCTAAGATGGACTATGTAGTGGTTAATGGAATTGTGGTGCCCCCAACAAACTGATTTGATGCATTGCCGTTAATGTTGACTGTCGCTGTCTTCGTAGAAGGTGCAGTCGGTAAACATTGGATATAGCCGACGGTAATTCCATGACATGCCATGCTTTTTTGAGTCAGGGATCCCAAGGGCTTTAAGGAGCCTACAATCATTGTACAATTATTTTAAGGTAACCTCATTTTAAAGAAAGATATTCAACCCTGTTTTTTCTGTACTTTATTTTTTCAAATTTTAAGTTTTCCAAGTGAGGCATGTGAATAAATAATTTTGAAAAATTGAACATATCAGGGTAAAATGTTACCTTGATAATTCAACCTTGCTAACTGAGGTATTTTTGACTAATCCAGTCACAGGTGTTTTTACATAAAGCAACTTATGGAAATCATGTACGTAAACTGGACATGCCGCGAATTATCGTGACTCTCTAATGACGCCTAAATATATTGGCTGTAGGCAGGGCGTGACGTTAATTCCCAGCATAATGTAATGGCTATAGACCAAAGATATCTCCCGATGTTTGAGAAGCGATATAAGTATGTTATACTTTTTGAGATAAAATAAGTCTTGGAATATTTCGCTTCATCCCGGGTCATTCAATATCACAAGCCTAATAAAGGCTTTTGTGACATTTGTCGGAGTAATGCTCCTATCAGAAAATGCTATACATTTTACGATTGGCGCCTAATGTCAGTTCTGTTTTGACATTTTTGTAGTAAACACATGTGAAATACACGCTAATAAACAATGTTACGCTACACTGCTCCGGAACGCGGAATATTAGTGACTATTCATTTGACCAATAATCGGTCGGTGACTTTGGCACAACGTGAATTTCGTCGCAGATTTCATGACAACAAAAGAAGCTGCCAGACGTGGCAGACCCCGGAGTACCCGTTCTGTAGAGAACATTGTAGCTGTAACCGAGGATGTCATGAAAGCGTCGTCGCTAGAGTCAACGCAACTTTATTCTTCGAAGACATTGCGAGCCAAGCGGGTACTGTGAATGGTGAGCACTACAAAACAATGATCAGCGATTTCTTTTTGCTGCAACTTGGTGGAAGTGGTTCCAACAGGACGGTGCTCCATCGATATTCTGAAGGATGCATTTCCCGGGCGTCTAACCTCCCTTTTTGGCGATTTGCAGCAAGATTGCAGACTTCTTTTTGTGGGGCTTTTTGAAGTCGAGGGTTTATGTCAACAACCCTCAGACTCTTTCAGCTCTTAAAGTCAAGAATGTGAGAACCTCTCACCGCAAGTTTTGGCCAAATTGTTGGAAAATACCATAAAAATGACTCAAATGACAATAAACTGTAGCGGCGGGCATTTGCATGACATTATAATTTCGCGTTGATGTAAAACAAGTAAAAAAGCAGTAAGTTCGGCCGGGCCGATACCCTCCACCATTTGGAACGAATTAGAAAATTTTCAAAAAAAAAAAAAAAATAAATAAAATCCATTAAAATTCTTTTAAAATCTTTAAAATATCTAATATAATGTGGGTAAAATCATCAAAATACCGAATATCGGGAGGGTTCCGTTATATGGGGGATATACGATATCGTGGACATATATAGACAATTCTTTTTGAGGGGGTAAAATGCCCACAAAGGACTCCTTTTGTGGAATTTCAGACAATTCCATTGAAAAATGTGGATAAAATCATCAAAATGCCAAATATCGGGGGTACCGTTATATGGGCACTATACGATATGGTGGACCTATATAGATAATTCTCTGCCGAGGTATAAAGTACCCACAGGGAACTCCTTGTGTGGATTTTCAGACAATTCCGATGAAAAATGTGGGTAAAATCATCAAAATACCGAATATCGGGGGTACCGTTATATGGGGGATATACGATATCGTGGACCTATATAGACAATTCTTTTTGAGGGGGTAAAATGTCCACAAGGGACTCCTTTTGTGGAATTTCAGACAATTCCATTATAAAATGTGGCTAAAATCATCAAAATACCGAATATCGGGAGGGTTCCGTTATATGGGGGCTATACGATATCGTGGACCCATATAGCCCATCTTCGAACTTGACCTGCATGCAGTCTGTCCGTCCGTCCGTCTCTCTGTCTGTTGTAATCACGCTACAGTCTAAACGAATTAAGATAGGAAGCCAAAATTTTGCACAGATCTCTCTTTTGTCTGCAGGCAGGTCAAGTTCGAAGACGGGCTATATCGGTCCACGATATCGTATGGCCCCCATATAACGGTACCCCCGATATTCGGTATTTTGATGAAGTTAGCCACATTTTTCAATGGAATTGTCTGAAGATCCACACAAGTAGTTCCTTGTGGATACTTTATACCTCGGCAGAGAATTATCTATATAAGTCCGCAATATCGTATAACCCTCATATAACGGTACCCCCCGATATTCGGTATTTTGATGATTTTAGCCACATTTTCAATGGAATTTTCTGAAATTCCACAAAAGGAGTCCCTTGTGGAAATTTTACCCACTCAAAAAGAATTGTTTATGTAGGTCCACGATATCGTATATCCCCCATATAACTGTACCCCCCAATATTCGATATTTTGATTATGTTAGCCATATTTTTCAATGGAATTGTCTTAAAATCCACATAAGTAGATCCTTGTGAGTCTTTGACCTCCTGAGAGAGAATTATCTAATTAGGTCCACAATATCGTATAACCCTCATATAACGGTACCCCCACGGTAATCGGTATTTTGATGATTTTAGCCATATTTTTCAATGGAATTGTCTGAAATTCCACAAATGGAGTCCTTTGTGGGCATTTTACCCCCTCAAAAAGAATTTTCTATATAGGTCCACAATATCGTATAGCCCCCATATAACTGTACCCCCCGACATTCGGTATTTTGATGATGTTAGCCACATTTTTCAATGGAATTGTCTTAAAATCCACACAAGTAGTTCCTTGTGAGTACTTTACCCCCTGAAAGAGAATTGTCTATACAGGTCCACGATATCGTATATCCCCCATATAACGGTACCCCCCGATATTCGGTATTTTGATGATTTTATCCACATTTTTCAACGGAATTGTCTGAAAATCCACACAAGGAGTTCCTTGTGGGTACTTTATACCTCGGCAGAGATATCGTATAGCCCTTATATAACGGTACCCCCGATATTCGGTATTTTGATGTTTTTAGCCATATTTTTCAACGGAATGGTCACAAGGGGTTCTTTGTACACAAGGGGTTCTTTGTGAGCACTTTACCCCCCGACAGAGAATTCTCTATATAGGTTAACGATAACGTATAGCTCCCATATAACGGTACCCCGCGATATTTGGTATTTCGATGATTTTAGCCACATTTTGCAAACTTATTGTCTGAAAATCCACACACGGAGTTCTTTGTGAGCACTTTACCCCTGAAACGGAATTGCCTATATAGGTCCACAATATCGTATATCCCCCATATAACGGTACTCCCCTATATTCGGTATTTTGATGATTTTAGCCACTTTTTCCAATGGAATTATCTGAAAATCCACACAAGGAGTTCCTTGTGAGTACTTTACACGCAGACATAGATTTGTCTTTATAGGTCCACAATATCGTATATCCCCCCATACCTTCCTATATTAGATATTTTAAAGATTTCAAAATAATTTTTAATGGATTTTATTTTTTTGAAAATTTTCTAATTCGTTCCAAATGGTGGAGGGTATTCAAAGTTCGGCCCGGCCGATCTTACTGCTTTTTTAATTGTTTTTTTTTTTTTTTAATTACAGCCAAAAAACATCGTTGTTTCCATAATTGTAAAAATCTGTGCTCTATTTTCATAATATAAATAAAAACATCACAATAGGGTAAGTGTACCAGTACTCGACACTTTTAAATTTTTCAATCTTTCAACATTATGAGTGAAATCTTTCAATTGAAGAAAAATAAAATGGTTCACATTCCAAATCTTGTTTAGTTTTTGGAAATAATAAACAACAATTGATTTCTTTATACCCTCCACCAAAAAAAGTGTGTAGGGTATATTAAGTTCGTCATTCCGTTTGTAACTCATCGAAATAATCATTTTAGACCCAACAGAGTATATATTCTTGATCAGCGTAAAATTCTAAGACGATTTAGCCCTGTCCGTCCGTCTGTTCGTCTGTTGTAATGACGCTACAGTCTAAACGAATTAAGATAGGAAGCTAAAATTTTGCACATATCTCTCTTTGTCTGCAGGCAGGTCAAGTTCGAAGTTGGACTATATCGGTCCACGATATCGTATATCCCCCATATAACTGTACCCCCGATATTCGGTATTTTGATGTTTTTAGCCATATTTTTCAACGGACAGAGAATTCTCTATATAGGTTAACGATAACGTATAGCTCCCATATAACGATACCCCGCGATATTCGGTATTTTGAAAATCCACACAAGGAGTTCCTTGTGAGTACTTTACATGCAGATTGTCTTTATAGGTCCACAATATCGTATATTCCCCCATATCGGGACCTTCCTATATTAGATATTTAAAGATATTAAAAAAAATTTTAATGGATTTTATTTTCTTTTTTTTGTTGAAAATTTTCTAATTCGTTCCAAACAGTGGAGGTATTCAAAGTTCGGCCCCGCTGAACTTACTGCTTTTTTACTTGTTATTATTAAATTGGCAAAATTTGCAAATTTTACTAAAAGAGTGTTTTTTTGCCAGTAGTCGGCACCATTTTGATACTCTCCACCATACATAGTATGGAGGATATATTAAGTTCGTCATTCCGTTTGTAACTCATCGAAATAATCATTTTAGACCAAACAAAGTATATATATGTCTGTCTGTGTGTCTGTCTGTCCGTCTGTCTGTTGTAATTACGCTATCTTTCGAACGAATTGAGATAGAAGGCTAAATTTTTGCACACATGTCTATTTTGCCAGTAGGCAGTTTAAGTTCGTAAATGGGCCCTGTAGGTCCACGTTTTATATAGCCCCTATATAACGGTACCTCCCGATATTCGGTATTTTGATTATTTTAGCGACATTATTTTGGCATTTGAAGTTCGAAATAGATACTATAGCCTGAGACAGAAAATTGTGTATGAAGGTCCGATTTTAAGTATAATACTCACCGAAATTTTTTGAGATGTCGTATTTGAAGTTCGTAATGGAAGCTACAGCCTGTGACAGAAAATTTTCTATGCAGGTCCAGGTCTTCGTATAGCTCCTATATAACGGTACCCCCCTATGTACTTTATTTTGATGATTTTGGCTACATTATTCACCGGTTATTTCAAGTTTCGAATTTGAATATGGTAATGGCTTGTGACAAACAATGTCTATGTAGGTGCACGTCGTACGGGCCCTAATATAACGGCTATATTCGGTATTTTTAAAATGGTAACAGAATTTTTGGCGAATGTTATCTTTTTCGAATATTTTTAAATTCGTTCTAAATGGCGGAGGGTATTCCAAGTTCGTCCCGGCCGAACTTACTGCTTTTTTACTTGTTTTATTTATATGGGGTCTATGCGATATCGTGGACCTATATAAATAATTCTCTTCCAAGGGATGAAGTGCTTACAAGGAACTCCTTGTGTGGATTTTCATATAACGGTACCCACCCGATATTCGGTATTTTCATGATTTTAGCCACATTTTCCAATGTAATGGCCTAAAAACCACACAAGGAGCTCCATATGAGTATTTTATCTCTTGAAAGAGAATTATTTATATAGATCCCCCATATAACGGACGATAGCGCATAGTTCCCGTATAACGTTACCTCTGATTAAAGGTTACTTTTAAGGGTTCGGAAGAATTTTCTTACTAAATTTTCAATTTACTACACCATTTTGTCCGCATATTACAATGCCTCTTCGTTTGTATTTTGAGTTCCCATTGGATGGATTATTTCCATACCTCAGAATCGATAGTAATTTCTTAATTGAAATCCTGGTAATATGACTTTAATTTAACTATCATAAATAAAGTTTCATCGGTTTATAAAAGTTTGGGACCCCATAAAGTATGTTAAAGAGTAGAAATCTTTGTCGATTAAATTATGTCAGTGAGCCTCTCCGTTCGCCATTGGCAATTACGATAGAGGTCACCAAATTTAATATACGGCTTTTATATTATTCTTAGGATGATTGATGTTACAAAAGGTATATAATTGTTCTCATTTAGATATATTCATATAATAATATCTCCTAATATTCGTCGAACAAATGTTCTCTAGTTTGGCCGATTTAAGGTATATTGAAGAGCTCGAAAGCTTTTTCGAGGTTATAAATCATTTGTCAAAAAAAAAAAAAATACAAAAAAGTCCATTTTAGACGACCATGTTGTAAGGTATTTACTTTTTACCAGTGTAAAATCCTATGTAAATTATTCTATATCCGTCTGTGTATACGGCCGTTCGTTGAATCCGCAATAAAGTCGAAATATTTAGGTTAATCTTTGAACTTTAATACAATATTCCTAAGAAGTTTCCCCTTTTGGCATAGCCGCTATTTAAAAGTGCTTTAAGATTTTGATTGGTTTGATGATTTGGGAAGTATTGCCTAATCAAAATTGAAATATTTTGCATACCAACCATATAATATATAAAAATATGCAAAATTCTGAAACAATTATACAAAACATTCCATATCAAAAAACAACTTTCGATTTTTTCAACGTCTCGACTTTTCAAAAATTCATTTTGTAAAACCTTTCCACTGTAATTCACAAGAATTGAATTTTACACTATTGTTATACATATGGATTTAAAAGAATAGTCGTGGCCAGTTCATCTGTCTCCAAATAGATACTTAGGGTTGGAGGGAGAGTCAACAGTACCAAGTATACTAACTTTCAAACAGATATTATCATTATTTTGGCAAATATAAGGATTTCAAGTAAATCGAAAAAGTGGGCGTGGACAATTTTCCTTTGCATAAAAAACTAACTCGGGGTAGGACGAACATTTGTAAAAAATGTGCCCATTCTCACTGGTATTTGTAGTTTAAAGTGGAACACATTTGAATCCAGATATCTTTCTATACAAATGGTTTCTTTAGCTCATGGTAGACCAAGGGCTAGATAAGGTCGGCGAAGAAGGTAACTTTTGACAACGATTTGAGTACAAACTTAGTAGTTTTTGAACAATTGTTATTTGACTGTCTTTGAATTTCAAATCACAATAAGTCTTTTGACAGCGAACTTAGGTGTCAGAACTTAATGCCATGGGCCGAACTTAAAGTGTTTTTACTTGTTACTGTTAGACTTGTTTGAGTTTTTAATCAACTTAACATTTCGGTTTCAAATTTTTAATCCTTGTCAAAAAAGGGTAATCCTAAATTTCTAAATATTAATTTTTGTCAATGGATTTTCCAAAGTCTTGTCGTCAAACAAACTGGAGCAGTGAGTCGCTGAAGAATTATACATCAATAGAATCGATCAGAAGACATTTAGCTCGAGGCAATTCTAGTTATTTATGTCGACATCCAGAGGTGCGTGTTAATTCATATTGTGGAAGGTATCACAAAAGAAAAATGTCGTAAACATATAAATGCATACTTTGTATGCAAATACAATTTTCATTCAATATCATTCATTACGATCTCTCAAAATTGGAAGTTATTTAAAATTTCTCATTTAGGTGAGAGCAATTATTCGGGTGTTTCTTCATGAACTTTTGGATAAACAACCTGAGAATATCTATGAATTTTCAGCTGCGCTTTTCAACTGCAACAACTCGCTCCTGTTGGTCAACAAAGTAATGTTGTAAATAAGATTGGCACACATCGACATTTACCTTACTACAAATTTTTCCTTACAGATCAATAAACAACTTAATTTGGTTGATAGGGCTTCGAAGAGAAATAAGGGGTCTGAGAATGTGGCTGAGGAAATCTTTCCGAAGACGACGTCAACAGATTCTTTGCTTTCGAGAGCTTCAACCTCGGCCGACATTGATGCTATGTTGCGGTATGCCATGTTGCTAAGAGATGATAAATGACGGAAGTTCTATTGCTCACTCGCAATAAGAAATAAACCATTTCAAACATTTTATTCCCATATCGCAAAATAAATTTACCCTCTTTGGATGAACCGCTACCAAAGATTTTAGCTCACTCCCGGTGCTTGGTGTTTCGAACTATCAATACATTCAACCATTAGTCAACCATGTCGATCCCAACGGGGGCTATATAGACAATGCTATGCCATAGGATGTGAAACGCATTACAAACTCTAAACACCAAAGTCAAAAAAAAATCCGTGAAAATATGTGACTAAAGTGATCGAAATACCGTATATTGAGAGGTACTGTTAGGGACGCTATAATAATATATTGAACTATGATATTCTGCTACCGTATGTAGAACTCACTATGAACTACTAAGGCAAAGTTTCTGACAAATCCGTAAGAAAGTGTCTAATAAATCGTCAAAATACCGAATATCCCAAGTTACCGTTATATAGGTGTTATAGTAACAGGTAGATGTATATAGACAATGTTCTGACACAAGGAGTTGATCCCGTTACAAACCCTTAATACGAAATTTGGAACAATTCATTGAAAACATGTGGCTAAAATCCACAAAATATGGTTAATTTTTGAAGTTCTTTGCGACATTTGTCTGGTTCATTGTATTGCTCTGTTTGACATGGGCGCAGAACTCCGACAAAACAACATTACCATTTCAGCGATGTTTTTCCAGAGTTTTTTTCAGTCAAAGTTTCGTTACAGAAAAATAGATACCGAACCAAAATATCCAAAATATCTTGATCAAAATCTTGCTATACTAAAAGGAATTGCTAGAAAATGGTGGAAAAGACAACATCTCTTATGAAAACCTCACTCTCTAATTTAAGAAAACACGAAAAATCAGCATAAGATTCTGAGTCTTTTGTATTAAATATGTATATATGTCCACGTTTTGGTATGGCTTCCACATAACTATGGATCATATACAAACAGCTCATATTTTATGAGATTGAGAAGAAGTACATTTTTCGAAGCTTGCCTATGCGCTTATATATATGCCAAAATCCATCATTTATGTGTTGGTTTACACATCTTGTGAACAATAAATGTGAAATCGGAAAAAATATATATCAATTTCACAGATGTTTATTTCGGTGCTGTATCTCATATCTTGTCCCGAATGTCATTATTATGGGGTGCATATTACAACTGTTAGGGAGTTGAATATCGAATCGGATGGAACCATGACATAATTACAGAAGGTAGAACAATAAAAACTCAGAATTGTTTAGAGTTTTTGTAAAAATTGTCAGCTAAGATTAGTTTTCTTTTGTAGAAAGCAAAATTTAATTTAGGACCCATTTCTGGACCGAATTCTTAAGGTAATGATGAATAATAAATCTAGAAATCTGTTGTATATATTATTTCAATCTCATTTCAGACTGGTGGTATCAAAAATGTTGCAGGAATTCTATAGAGGTGTAATATTAGTGGAGGATATCCAGAAGCTAAAATAAAGTATCTAGAATGTCAAGATCACAGGAGGCAGGGACAGCTGAGATGACCAACAGTGAACTAAATGTGTAAAATTTAAAAAAAAAAAATAAATATTTTTTACCATTACAAAAATAAGCTTAATATAGTATAACTTTGGTAAGCTTATTCTACAATTACAAGTATAAGCTTATAATTAAGGGTTCAAATTCGATTATTCTATATTTGTTACACAAACATTTTCAATGTTTTCTCAAGATTTTCTGAAGCTTGAGGCTTATGTTCTTATGCTTATTGTAATATAATTCTCAAGCCATTTATGTATGTTGGGTATTCTGTCAACCCAACATACCAAAAATACAATACAGCTTGAGAACAATATTATAAAAATATAATTTTTCAACAATGCTTGAGAAACACTTATGTTCCACAAACTTTTCTCAAATCTGTCCTTTTTTGACAAATTAGTTTTGATTTTTTGTGAAAAATGTCAGCAAAAAAATATTTTCTTTGGTAAAAAACAAAATCACGCGAATTTGGGACCCATTTCTGGACCGAACTCTTAAGGTATGGATGAATAATAAATCCGGGAATCTTTTACATAAATTATCCCATTTCAGATTGAAAGCATAAAAAAAGTTTCAGGAATTCAATAGATGTGTAGTCTTATTGAAAGAGATGCAGAAGCTCAAATAAGGGAAAAGAAAGCGTCAGGGTATCAAGGCCACATGAGGCAGTGACTACTGGGATGTCTATCAAAAAAAAAGATTAAAAATTAAAATAATAATATTTTATACTATTACAAAAATAAGCTTAATATAATATTATTTTCGTAAGCTTATTCTACAATTTCAAGTATAAGCTTATAAATAAGGGTTCCGTTTCGATTATTCTATACTTGTTACACAAACATTTTCCAATGTTTTCTCAAGATTTTCTCAAGCTTAAGGCTTATGTTCATAAGCTTATTGTAATATTATTCTCAAGTCATTTTGGTATGTTGGGTATACACATTTTGTTTATGTGTGTATTGCTTTGAATAATAACAAGTAAAACAAGTAAAAAAGCAGTAAGTTCGGCCGGGTCGAACTTTGAATACCCTCCACCATTTGGAACGAATTAGAAAATTTTCAAAAATAAAATCCATTAAAAATTCTGTTAAAATCTTTAAAATATGTAATATCGGAAGGTGCCGATATATGGAGGGGATATACGATATTATGGATCCGTATAGACAATTACCTTTCAGGGGTTAAAGTGCTCACAAAGAACTCCTTGTGTGGATTTTCAAACAATACCATAAATATGGCTAAAATCATGAAAATACCGAATATCGGGGGTACCGTTATATGGGTGATATACGATATCGTTAACCTATACAGGGTTGCCCATATTCGACGGACCCATGACTCTTTGGACCCATTCCAATCCGCAGGCAACATTCTTTGCGTCAATTGAATTCTTCGGATTAGAAAGAGCCTTACCAGTCGAAAATTTTTCGTATAAACGCTTAATGGTGTTCTTAGAAGGCGCACTTCTCACATTTTTTAAAAGCACGTTGAGTTTTCACAATTGACTTCTTCTGTTGAATATAAATTTCAACTATTTCAGAGCGCTCGCGTGGCGTGTATTGGTTCATGGTAAAAATCAGCTTGGACTGACGCTTCAAACGCGGTATGTCATTAAGCGATGTGACATCTCTGTCAAAAGTTATGGCGTTGCCAGATGGGTCCGTCGAATATGGACAACCCTGTATATGTCAGGGGGTAAACTGCTCACAAATAACCTCTTGTGTAAAATTTCAGACAATTCCGTTGAAAAATGTAACTAAAATCATCAAAATACTTCTGTATCGGGGTATATAGATAATTCTCTTCCAAGGGATAAAGTACTCACAATGAACCCCTCGTGTGGAATTTCAGTCAATTCCATTGCAAAATGTGGCTGAAATCATCAATATACCGAATATCGGGGGTACCGTTATATGAGGGCTATACAATATCGTGGACCTATATAGATAATCCTCTTCCGAGGTATAAAGTACACACAAGGTACTCCTTGTGTGGATTGTCAGACAATTCCGTTGAAAAATGTGGGTAAAATCATCAAAATACCGAATATCGGGAGGTCCGCTATATGGTGCTAACAAAAACGTGAACCTATACATACAATGTTTCGCCAACAGAGCTAGAACCCATTAGGACACACAAATACTGCGAAGAAATGTGGCAAAAATCATCAAAATACCGAATATCTGGATTTACTGTTATATATACTGTTATATATAATCGGTATATTGAAGATTTTAGCTACATTTTCAAGAGAATTGAATTAAACTTGATTTTTGTAGTTTGTAGTGGCAGATAATTGGCTGTAAAGGTCCACGTTTTCTTATAGCCCCATATAACTGTTACACTTGATATTCGGAATTTTTAAAATCATAGCGGCATTTTTCAACGTAATTTTTCTAAATGTTATAACTTTCTTTCCGAAAGTAAAAAAACTTAGCTGATTTTTCAATGGTTACATCGAAAATTTTGTGTTTGGAAATTATCGGTTTACGACAAATATTGTTGGAAAACTCCATTGCAGATCTTAATCACATTAGGGTAAATATAATTTAACAATGTAAGTGTTTTGGTATGGGTATAGGATTCCTTAGCATAGTTCATACCATGCCTTGATATTCAAAGCTTATAACCTTTTTCGGCATATAACAATTGTCAGCAATTGAGTGATTGCCTATATAAAGTGTATATTAATTTTTTATTGAAAATATATCCGAAAATTAATTTATGTTATCAAATACAATTTTTCGAAGTCTCCTTGCAATCATCGCTGCTTAGTTCGGTAAAGAATCTGCGCGCTAATTGCTTCATCTCCTTTGTTAAATAAACTGGAAATACAACTTAGAAATCAAAAGATAAAGACAATAAAATAATTTGAAATCCCAAGCTTTAACGTACTTTTAAACTCAATAATGAGGTCGCCGTGCTCCTTAGGTTCAACACGACACGGAACACGCGCTTCCACAATGTCTAAGGATTTACACTTTGGTAAACCTTCCCCATTCACAATTTTGACAAACCCAGGATTCACCACTTCTGAAATGGATATTTTCAGGTCACGTTTATCCACAGTCCGAACAAGGAACTGGAATCCAGTCAGAGCCTGACACAAATTTATTTCATGAACATAAATAAGATCGTGTTGGTTTCTTCTTTGGAAACGCCTGTGCGGCGCGTCCGCAACGATGAAGATAATGTCAGCACGTATCTTGGTGGGACCACGATCTCCCTCCTCATCGAAGCAAAACCTAGTTCCTGCTGTAACTCCAGGTGGTATGTTAAGGGTTAAAGATTTCCTTAGTTTCTCGGTGCGAAAATCTTTTGCGTTCACCAACTCTTCCCGCCACACATGCATCAGCTTAACACATCCAAAATAAACGTCTTCCAGTTCTAATGGGATTTGTTTAATAATTGGTGGGTCTTTGGCTCTGTATCCGATGCCATTGGTTTTGTTGTCAATTAGAGGCGTCGAGGATACAAGGATCGAATCGATTATATCAGAATATGGAGAATATCTACCGAAGATATCATGATACACTTTCATATGATTTCCATGATATTGATAGGGAGGAAAATATCCACCCTTTAAACGAATGCCTTGTAATAGAGCAGATTCCCCGAAACGATCATAAATAGAGCGTCGAAAATCGTGCCCTAGATGAAAAAAAAACTAGAGCAATGCATTGGAAATCTCTTTTAAATCACAAGCCATGTTAATATATTCCCATTGCCGATAAATCGGCAAGGGAGACATGTGAGTGGAAATATGATCAGTGTCCTTGCCGCTAATGTCTCGAATAAGTTGAGAATCTCGATAAGGAAAAAGTTTTATAGCCAATTTACGGTAGCTTTTCAAAATGTCCTCTTTTGTGGCATTTCGCGGAATGTTCAAAATATTATAATAGTCCAATTCGGCACATTTCATAGTGACATGAATTAGAACCAATAAATTTGATCACAAAAAAACAAAACGATGTCTGGTTGACTTTTTGCTGTAGTAAACTGAGTTTTCATTGCCAGCTTTGCGAGTTTGATGGACTGACAAAATGTATTAAAGTTAAAAACATGTTTTTTAATGAGTGTTACCCAAATACGTATTGCCTCATGGTATAATTATTACAGGTAGCAGCAAATCCCAGCTGTAATAATACTAGTAATACTAGTGAAACCCATTTTGAAATCAATGATTGGAAGACATATAAATTGAAAGACAAAAAAAAAAAATTGAAAGATTAAATAGTTTGGATCATGTTTTGAAAGAACTCATCATTCTCGCTATTTAGCTCATTTTAAAAATGAGGAAAAATATTAAATTATTGAAAAACAACTTGATGCGTATAATTTTGAATAATTTTGATAGGAAGCGGACATTGCCTTCAATTGTCAATATTGAAATTGTTCAACTCTGACGTTGTGTACACCCAACTTATTTGGGTAACTTTCAAATAAATACATGGTTTTTTCTTGTGTGGTGATATACGTCTACCGAGTATGTCGAATTTTAGGTAAAGTTGTAAAGTTTACAAATTACAAAATAAAAAAAAAATAATATTGACATGTGAGCATTTTAATTTTTATCAAGGAAATTTTATTTTTTTCAAAACGTTTCTAATATTGTCAATGTTAAGTTTGTTCAACATTGAAATTTCGCACGTTCTACGTATTTAAGTATCATTCAGCCAAATACATGTAATAGTGAAAAACGTCTGAGGTGTACGTAAGTTATTAGATAGAGGTAAAATAACAATGACATAACCAGTAATGTAGTAATGTGGTTTAACATTAAACGAAGAAGTAAGTATAAAAGAGACTAATTGTGTCAAATTGACTTTTAAAATATGCAAGAATTGGTTTTGTTTATTTTACAATTTTTCCACAATTTTTTTAATTAAGAATAAAAACCACCAAAAATACTCCACAAAAATTGGTCCCAGAGTAGAATGGTAAAAATGGTTTATTCCTTAGAAAATTTAATAAATTAATAAATAAAATTAAAATTAATTCCCTATTAAAATTAAATAATTCACATTGCTTTCTCCACTTTTAAAACAATGCAGACACATATACATACAGGGTGATATGAAAAAACTGCACCCAACTTCAGATTGCTGTCATTTCTAAGCCACTTGTCCGACAGCGGTTGAATTTATTCTAGTGACAGTTCATTTTATTGTTTACAAGCGTACAAAAACATTTTGGTTTGAATTTTCCACAAAAAAGGTAAACGTGATGAAATTGAAGCGTGATAGTGTGATTTCTTTATATTTGGCTGGAAAACCACATGTGGCTATCATTAGAGCACTCCAGCATTTAAATGTGAAAAATGACTCGTGAGCTGAAAATATCGCAATATTCCATTCGGCAAATATTGAAAAATGAGCTTGGGGTAGCCATTGAAATTCCAAAAAGTGCAAGAACCTACATCGCAACAGAAAGAAAATAGACTCAAAAGAGCTGCTTCGCTTGCCGAAAGTGGTGAACTGCCGAATTTGATTTTCTCCGATGAGACATTCATTGTCCAGCAGTTTGTAAACAAACAAAATGATCGTGGTCAAAGAGTTCAGTTGAAAATGTGCACCTTCAGTTGGCCACCAGAACTCAATCACCGGCCATGGTGATGGTGTGGGCAGCGTTCGAAAACAAACAGTACACAAACATAGTGTACTGTACCGGTACAGTATCACTAAGAAACCAGTAAAGAAAGTCCTAAAGTCGG